TGGCCATGTCCTCGGTCGACACCTCCGAAGAGGTGGTTGAATTTTTGTCGGTTGTTGTTGTTTTGTTGCTAAAATTATTCTCCATACGATATCTGGACAGTGGAGGTGACGAGGTCCGCCATGACATAGCCTCCATATCATGGTAAGGACTTGGCAACTAAGCCTGTTACTCGTCGAGGCGCCCAGGTATCGACGAGGACACGTTCTAATACAGTCCGTACCCTGACTGCAAACCTTGGAACACTGATGGGCACGGTTTACGTAACACCCCAGCATTAGGGAGTCCGTTGCGGTGGACCAGGCCGTCGACTGGGTAGTTTAGGGGCGCCAGTGTCGCCTCATCGAGTCCAGGGAATACAGGCACTCGGATATTTGGTCCGAAACTCTCCCCCTAGAAACCACTGAGCTGTCCGCGACTGCTTATTTAATTCGCAGCTGCCCGATATATCTACCGTCCCACTATCCGCAACCCGTGGACGCGTCCGTTTAATAGTTTTTATAAATTATAATCTACTGTAAACGCCTGTTGTAGACCCAACGCTGTATTTGCCTGCTGCATAAGATAACGAGCATGTAATAAAAATTTTATGACCCCCACAAGAGATATGCAGGCAAGACAATGTACGCAAGATGAGTAGCGTTGGTCTGTCACCAATTTATATGTATTCTTGAATAGAAAATAAGGGTTGCTAGATAGTGTGTAAGGTTAAGAATTATTTTGTAGGCTAGCACTTAAGATGGAATTGTGAAAAAATAAAGTCAGTGTCGAATCAAGCATCATACGAGCATTTTCATTCTTCTTCCAAACAACCCCCAAGAGAATATTGGTTGGGAACGTAGATTTAGGATGTACATCTATATGAAATAAATTCTGAAAACATGAACAAATTATAAATAAAAGAAAGTAGCACGCGACCGAATATTTGTTGAATCGTCATTGAATTATACTATAATGAAAAATATGGACTTTATGAGGTCTACAACTTACATTTTAAATGGCAAATAAACTTAATTCCCATCTTACGGTAATGGGTGTAAAATAGCTATATTTTTGATTTGGCCTCTATTTGTCATATTGGATTATAAGGGGTAGAAGAAAGTTTTCAATGTAGATCGATGTTTCGGAGTAGAGCCCATATAAAGGTAGGTCCTGATTTTACCATATTTCAAAGAATTTGGCAAAAAATGTATATTTGGGGTGGAAATCTTATACAAAAATTTCAAGTTTAGAATTTTTTAGGGCAATAGTACCACGGACAAACAGGCCGTGGACTATATGTATATATATATATATATATATATATATATATATATATATATATATATATATATATTATTTATTAACCACATATTAACATTATCACTGCTGTTTTTTTTTAAATTTTTGGAACCTAGACACGTAAAAAGACAAACGTTTACTTGCAAACAATTAGTGTGACTACTTTCGTCAAGTGTTTTTATTGCACTGATACTTGTTTGCTTATTGCGATCTCTTTTTGTACACTTATTCGCAACGTTCTTCCTTGCTACCGCCACATTCAATTTCGTACACTACCTTATGTTGGTCCATTTTTGGAATTTACGATTTCGTTGCGTTACGTGAGCTATGTGCTATTGTGTATTTATATTTGTAATACATTTCTGACTTCAAATCTTTGTGATATCTTTGGTAAATATATAGGGGATTTGTATATCTTTGATGGTTCTGTCTTTTGCAACTCTGGTGTATTTACAAAAAAAAAAATTAGTACACTACCACAAAAAAATATTTTAGTGATACTGTACCGGAACACATCGATGATCGTAGTGTACCGCAGGCGGAATACTAAAAAATCGTCGTGTACCGCAGTCGAAACACTTACAAATTATAGCGTTCCGGAGTCGGAGCACTAAAAAAAATAGTGTTCCGCAAACGGAGCTTTAAAAAATTGTAGTGTACCACATGCACCACATTAAAAAAATCGAAATCAATAAAACTGATTTTAAACACTCAGCCATACTTTGTAAAATATTTGGTTTTTACACCTATATTCATTGATTTTTCGGTACGATGAAATAACAGCTAAATTATTTGCATAATAACCCATTCAACGCAACCACTAAAATACCCTATTTTGCGGATTTCAAATTTCAATGGTTAAATACAAATTACTATCACTTCAGATTTGGTCCTTTTTCCACCTGTTCCCACATCTTTCTACTTTCTTCAATTTCGCAACGCATCTAAACATATATGACATATAAAATACATTCAGCTTTTATTTTCATAATATTGAATTGTATTAGTAATTTTTGTATAATCTAAAATATTAAACAGCTAATTTTTCTCAAATTTCAAATTTAAGAATAAATTTAGATTTGTTCGCATTGGTCACCTTTGGTACGAATTATGGCCTTAAAACGGATGTTGCTCTGCGGTATATTGGCCCATTCCCGACGAAGCGCTTGTTGGAGGTGATCGATACTTTGGTATTTTTAGTGCCAACCTTGCCAGTCCTGTTGGAATGTCTAACGAACTCATCGCGCAAAGCGGACTGGGACAGCTAGTATATATATATATATATATATATATATATATATATATATATATATATATATATATATGTATATATATATATATATATATATATATATATATATATATATATATATATATATACTAGCTGGCCCAGTCCGCTTTGCGCGATGAGTTCGTTAGACATTCCAACAGGACTGGCAAGGTTGGCACTAAAAAATACCAAAGTATCGATCACCTCCAACAAGCGCTTCGTCGGGAATGGGCCAATATACCGCAGAGCAACATCCGTTTTAAGGCCATAATTCGTACCAAAGGTGACCAATATATATATATATATATATATATATATATATATATATATATATATATAGAAATTTTTGTATAAGATTTCCACCCCAAATATACATTTTTTGCCAAATTCTTTGAAATATGGTAAAATCAGGAGCTACCTTTATATGGGCTCTACTCCTAAACATCGATCTACATTGAAAACTTTTTTCTACCCCTTATAATTCAATATGACAAATATAGGCCAAATCAAAAATATAGCTATTTTACACCCATTGCCGTAAAATGGGAATTCATTTTATTTGCCATTTAAATTGTAATTTGTAGACCTCATAAAGTCCATATTTTTCATTATAGTATAATTCAATGACGATTCAACAAATATTCGGTCGCGTGCTACTTTCTTTTATTTATAATTTGTTCATGTTTTCAGAATTTATTTCATATAGATGTACTTCCTAAATCTACGTTCCCAACCAATATTCTCTTGGGGGTTGTTTGAAAGAAGAATGAAAATGCTCGTATGATGCTTGATTCGACACTGACTTTATTTTTTCACAATTCCATCTTAAGTGCTAGCCTACAAAATAATTCTTAACCTTACACACTATCTAGCAACCCTTATTTTCTATTCAAGAATACATATAAATTGGTGACAGACCAACGCGACTCATCTTGCGTACATTGTCTTGCCTGCATATCTCTTGTGAGGGTCATAAAATCTTTATTACATGCTCGTTATCTTATGCAGCAGGCAAATACAGCGTTGGGTCTACAACAGACGTTTACAGTAGATTATAATTTACAAAAACTATTAAACATGGTCTCCGCCGTTCGCGGAAGCATAGCTGAGTGCTATCGGACGCGTCCACGGGTTGCGGATAGTGGGACGGTAGATATATCGGGCAGCTGCGAATTAAATAAGCAGTCGCGGACAGCTCAGTGGTTTCTAGGGGGAGAGTTTCGGACCAAATATCCGAGTGCCTGTATTCCCTGGACTCGATGAGGCGACACTGGCGCCCCTAAACTACCCAGTCGACGGCCTGGTCCACCGAACGGACTCCCTAATGCTGGGGTGTTACGTAAACCGTGCCCATCAGTGTTCCAAGGTTTGCAGTCAGGGTACGGACTGTATTAGAACGTGTCCTCGTCGATACCTGGGCGCCTCGACGAGTAACAGGCTTAGTTGCCAAGTCCTTACCATGATATGGAGGCTATGTCATGGCGGACCTCGTCACCTCCACTGTCCAGATATCGTATGGAGAATAATTTTAGCAACAAAACAACAACAATCGACAAAAATTCAACCACCTCTTCGGAGGTGTCGACCGAGAGCATGGCCACGGACAAGATCCTAACTTCGGGCGGGGACGTGACTCTGCAAACATACAGAGACGTGGTATGCGAGAGCATACAGCCACAGAGCGAACAGCTGTCCGCCCTTCTAGAGAAGACCACTCTGAGGCTCAGCCAGGAGAGTGTGCCCTCTGGTTTTGGGAATGACTCACCCCTCTCTGACGAGGAGCTCGTGGAGGGCAACACCACTCCCGAAGATGGTAAGACAGCTTCGGCTGTTGCACCGTCAACGGAATCAAGTGTAGCCCCCCCATATGTAACGCAGAGAAGCGGAGGAATAAAAGGAGGCCAAACCCTCTTCTCGTGTAACGATGAAGAGAGGACGGTCAAGGGAGGAACCACACCCCGAGGCAAAGAAACCGTCAACGGGCAAACTTCCTCCTCCGCCAACTGCGTATTCTGCGCCAGTAGCTGGCAAAAAGACAGTGGCAAGGCCGGTACAAACAGCTTCTGTGGACCCTAAGTCTGCTAAGGCTAAGTCTGCTACCACCAACCCACAACCTTCGAGCCAGAATTCAAGGAAGAGGAAATATTCCCAAACCTTATACCCGGACAATCTCCGTGTAGCGGTCATCGAACGAGCTGAGACGGAAGGCAAAATCAGCGAAAGTTGGTGGCTTCTCATTGAGGACCGTCTGAGGAAGTAAGCGATTGTCTTTTTACGTGTTTAGGTTCCAAACATTTAAAAAAACAGCAGTGGTAATGTTAATATGTTTTTAGGTAATTTGTAGATGATAAAACTCAAAGAGTTTGGAAATATTGGAAAAAATTAATAAATAAAAAAACAAAATTATATATATATATATATATATATATATATATATATATATATAATTAATTATTTTATTTTATAAAAAAGGTGTGCGTGCGAGTCCAACACGTCTTACTTTATTTATATCAAAAACCGAATCAAACATTTTACAAAATGCATTTTGGTTTTAGCTTAGCATAATAATAATTCTTAAGTGCTGACGTAGTCCACGCGCTGAGTGATGTGTGTGGGAATGTTGATTGTTGTCCGGTCTCATCGACATGTGCAATATGACGCTTGGAATGATGGTGTGGCTGGGTAATATGCGCGTGTAGCAACAGTTGCAATGAGAAATGTGTTAATTCTTCCCCCTCTAAGTTCCATACGTCTCGAATGGAACCTCAGAAAAATGGCAGGCTGTGAATGCTCCTATCCTGGTTATTTATCTGTATCCTCGGGGTTCTGCTTACAGTTTGGTTGGGTTGGAATATGTCGTCCTCAATCTCCTCTATTGTAGTAATATGCTCGTTGTTGGTTGTGATACATTTAGAGGGTTGGCTTGATAACAGCTTTGGGATGCACGTAGTTTCTTTGATATCTTCATACATTTCCGGACTACATATCGATAAACTATTATATGTCTTGCATTTACCTTTTAGGACAAAAATTTTATTCTTACAATCTAATACGTAATCATAATCTAGTTTAGTTACTATAGTCCCTCTCTTTACGGCTTTAATCAATAATTTATTGCAATTTCCGGTGTCTGTAGTTGGAATGCTAAGAATATACAATATGCTGTGTCCTTTAATGGCTATCTTAACTTCACCAAAATGCAACAGTTCATCAGTAGATGAGAATGGTATATTGCTTATATTAAATATATTATTAAGGGTCTCAATTTCAAAAGTAGAAAGGATAAATGAGTTTACTATATTTGCTTTTGCTAGGTGGATTGCGAATTCAACATTGGCAATGTCCTCTTTTAAAAATTCAAGTTTGTTTTTAAATTCAAGTATTTTTTCATTATGGAGATTTTGTTCTGTTTTTATTATCTTAATTATTTCATTTGTAGCATTGGTAAGCTTATTAATTCTTTCAAGTGACAGGCGAATAATTATGATTTGATTGCTATTGTTTTCCAATAAAATTTCTATTTTTTTTTTCTGAATTATGTCATAATCTTGATGGGCCATTTCCAAGCGCTGCCGAAAAAGTCTAGTGACCTTTCAAACTTATTATTTGGTTTGAGGCGGGATATGTAGGATTTGATTTGGGATATGGTGTATTTTAGGTAAGGGATGAGGGGGTGATTTGAGTTGGTATTCTGAACAATATTACTTTCTATTTCCACGATGAGTTTGTCATAGCTTTCTAGGTTTATGGTATGGATTATCTTGAAAGAGCCAGATTGAACCTTTGCAAGTCCTGAGTGCATCGCTACCAATTTTGAATTTGAGTAATACAGTATCTGAATTTCTCCGGCACACAGCGCCGTTAAGATCAATAATCTGTAAATGAAAATTTGTGCATAGAGGTGTGAGTTAATTTCTTATATGCCTCTTATGGACGATTCGCCGGCTTTTTGTGACTATTGTTGAATTCCTATTTTCCCTTACTATTTATTCCTTAAATCTCTCGGAGAGTTTTGTTCCTAGTCTTTTATTGACCCTAACAAAAACTAACTGACCCGGTGTATATTCCTTAATATCGTGTTTCCTTTTATTGTGATACCTTAGATTCCGTTCCTGTTTTTCTTTTATTTTCTCCATATTTGAATATCGGGTTCTATCATAGCTACCGGGAGAAAAGTCAACTGTGCGTCCAAAGAATAGATCCACAGGTTTCCTCTCGACAGTTGAATGAATTGAATGGTTGTATTCATTCACCGACTTTTCGAGGAGTTCTTCAAAAATTCTACATACTCCCTCCGCCCTTAGACACCTGAGCAATTCTGCGAGGGTGGAATGGAATCTTTCAACTTATTCGTTCGCTTCGCTAAAGTAAGGAGGAGTAGTAAATACTTCAATGTTCAATTCGTCCCTCATCATAAATAGAATAGTAGCCGAATTCAAAGATTTTTCATTATCTATCACGACCGTTTTCGGCACTCCGTAGAAAAATAATTGATCCCTGAGGGGTTTTCTAATATCCTCGATAGACTTTCCGTAAAGAATTTTGACTTGTGCGTACTTCGAAAATTTGTCCAAAGCAGTCAGTACCAATTTTTTGTGTGTTGAAAAAATATGGATGAGAATTACCTGTCCGGGGTATCAGTGTATAGGAGTTTATTTGATTATCGGATCGTTAGGGTGCCTGTCATATTTATTCTTTTTGCATATTGAACAAAGTTTAAGTACCCTCTTTATTTTCGAAAACATGTCTGGAAAATACCACTTCTCCAAGATCTGCATTTTATTTTCCGCCGCGTTTCTATGCGCTCTGTTATGCGTATCAATGATAATGTTTTCTTGGTCGCTCTCAGATATGACGTCTCCCACAAATATTCGTGTAAAAGAAACCTTATAATTGACGAGATGCAGTGGATAAATTTCCTGTATTTTACCCAATACCAACTATGGAGCACTTATAGCATTCTTTACAGACGGATTTAAATATCTTTTCAACAGTGTCAACAAAGTTTGCTGATCATATTCCCTTTCCACAATGGTGTGTCTGTGATAACCGGGGAATATTATTTGGAACTGATAAGATGCGACATTACCCGCACTGAAAAAAAGTTGATTCTTAAATGCGTTAATAGGGGCTTCTACCCAAGGTACTAAATTTTCTCCGGAACTGTCTTGACTGTGAATGGTACCGGTTAGCGAATGAACTTTGGTTATTGGTGCTCTAGTGAGAGCGTCTGCCACGATATTCGCCTTTCCTGGTTTGTATCTGATCTCGTAGTTGTATTCTTCGAGGATCGCCCTCCATCTTTTCATTTTAATATTGGTGTTTTTATTGCTTAGAGCGTAAGTCAGAGGCTGATGATCAGTAAAGATAACTTTTGCGGTTCCATACAAATAATTTCTGAAGATATGTAGAGCCCACACTATAGCTAGCATCTCCCTCTCATTTGTAGCGTAGTTCTCTTCCGTTTGTGATAATACTCTTTAAATAAAAGCTATTGGTCTATCATCCTGGCTAAGTACGGCTCCAAGTGCTGCATCAAGTTTGTATGGGTAAGCATTGCTTCTATTTTGTCCTGCATGGCACTGATGCCTTCAGCGGAAACTGAAAACCCTAGAAATTCGACCTTTGTCTTAAAGAACGCACATTTATTCACTTGTACTCTCATATTTGCCGCTGCAAGTGTGCTAAAGATTTCATTCAGAGGTTTGCAGTGCGATTCCTCGTCCTTACTAAAGATGATTATATCATCTATATAGACGTAGCAAGTTCTTCCAATGAAATTTCTAAGAATATCATACAATGCTCTCTGAAATATTGCTGGGGCATTTTTTAGGCCGAACGGCAGTCTCGTGATTTCATATTTCCCATTATTTATCGAGAATGCCGTTTTTTCGATATCCTTTGCCTTTAGATGAATTTGATGAAATCCGCTCTTCAGGTCGACTCTATATTTCCTTTTCCCCGACGCGTCCTCTTTTTTTGAACCACCCATAGAGGCGAATTATATGGGGAGCGAGATGGTCTTATAATTCCATCTTTGAGTAATTTATCTATTTCTTCCTCTACTACTTTTTTTAATGCCATTGGGTAGGGATAGTTTCTCGTGTAGATGGGTGCCTCGGAGGTTGTGCGGATCTCGCCTATGACCTTTGTGGTATAGGTTAATTTTTCATCAGGGTCTGCAAAAAGATTTTTGTGGGATTTTATTATTTTCCTCATTGTTGTCGCTTGATGTTCGGAAAGATGATCGCCTTTGATTTCGAGATTGTTAACGTCCTGCGAGACATATTGATATATTGGTATCTTCATGTCATTTTTAATAGCGAAGTAATTGTCTGCTGTATGAATTACTGCTGATAGTTCTCTTAAATTATCGTTGCCTAAAATTGCATCGAAAGTTCGAAATCCTGGCAGAAGGTAGAATTTTATAGGTTGGGTTTTATCACCAAATAGAATAACAAGGGTATGATGTGTTATTTGCACTTCCCCTGATATAGTTTTTGCGCGAAAAATATCCAGATTTTTTTGAGGCTTTTCCGCTAAAATAGACTAATATAGTTTTTGTTGCTGCCTGTATCCAAACGAATTTTAAGTATCTCTCCATCCCTCGTCTTAATCTTAAAGTATGGCAACGAGGAACTGTTTAACCAAAAAAATAAGATCTGCATTAAGGTCTTCGACAGAATAGTCTTCTGCTGGGTTCTCCGATGCCCTATATTCTTCGCCAAAATAGTGTACCGATTCATCGACGTACTCGTGATTTATTTTTTCAAAATACTCGCTGACATCCTGCATACCTCCTACAGCTGCTTCAAGCGGTTCCGTCTCGATATCCTGTTGTTGGTTCTCTACTTGTTGGTAGGGGGTATTTCCGCTCTTACGTAGAAGTTCCCCTAGGCTTTGTTAGCGGGCCCTGGAAAGAGCCTCCATAAGTTCATTTGAGACTATTATTGATCGGCGGCCTGTTAGAATAGTTTATCTGTTTTGTCTGAAGAGAGCGATCAATATCCATTGGTTCAGGATTCTGTTGCTGATTATGGGTCAATCCTTGTGTCCTCTGAAACCCATTGTTGTTGAACGCATAATATTGTTGGCAGGGTTGGTGCTGGCCCACCTGCCAATTCGTTGGTCTTTGCATTACCCGTGGTGGTATGGGAGGTTCATTTTGATGGCCCCTCACATGTGCGAGTTCAGGAAAAAATCTACTGCCAGTGAATGCATGAGAGGTCTGATTATAACCACGTGCATTCGGCTTGGGTATCTGTCCGTGAGCATGTTGCATGCGATAGGCCATATTATCTAGCTTCAGACAGATGTGTAATGCCTGAGGCAAGGATGTAGGTTCTCTGATGCTTAATAATCTCGGCAAGTTGCCCTTTAGGCCTCTGATGAACGTATCAAGCGCCTTATCCCTATGGGCGTTTGTCATCGAGACGAGACTACTCTCGTCCAGGTCAAGGCAGGCTATCTTATCAAATATCAAGGACAGATGTTGATATACTGCCTGATAAAACTCTGATATCGTTCTGTGGCCCTGACACATTGTAGCCATTTGGTATTCGAGCGTACCAATGTCTTGCCTATCTGAATAATGCATCATAAGGCATTTTCTTATTTTTGGCCAGTCTAGAGGTGTCCTGTACGAGTCGAGAGCAGTATCTGGTTCCCCGACAATCTTACTCCGTATTGTGTGGAGTATAGCGTAATACCTGCCAGTATTTTTGATGCTATCGAAAAGTCCAAGTACCCTTTCGACGGATTTACGCCACGAGCCGAACTCGCCTGCGATAACCCACTGGAACTAGTACTAGGCCTTGCGATTGACTCATGGATAGAGTTTTACTCAATATCTCAGATATTTCCACAATGCTGTCACCTGGCATTCTTCGTTAATAACTTTAACACTTGTTCAGTTTAGTTTGGGAATTGATTTGTTATTTTGGGTTATAATGAGATAGCAATCAAATAATAAAAGCCGTCACTTACCTTATAAACATTTCCCAAGTTCAATTTGAATTTTTAAATATTGTAATTTTGTTTTAATTTGTTTCTTCAATTTCTTAATGTCGATTCTTTTTAAATTGTAATAATAATTTTTTTAAATTATTTCCTTTTATTTTTAACAATTTTTTACAATTTCATATTCTTATGGGTTTTTTAATAATCTAGTTTCCTATTTTCTTCACAATTTTCCGTATTTTTCTTAATTCAACAATTTTTTTTACAATTTGATATTATTATTTATTTTTCAAGATTCTATTTTCTTCGCTATTTTCCGTTTTTTCTAAATATAACAAATTTTTAACAATTTCATATTCTTATTTATTTTTCAATTTTCTTCACTATTATCCGTATTTAATTTCATATTCTTTTCGACATTCTATTTTTCTATTTTCTTCATTATTTTCCGTATTTTTCTTGATATAATAATTTTTTTACAATTTCATATTCTTATTTATTTATTAATATTCTTTTTTCAATTTTCTTCACTATTTTCCATATTCAATTTCATATTTTTTCAATATTCTATTTTTCTATTTTCTTCATTATTTTCCGTATTTTTCTTGATATAATAATTTTTTTTTACAATTTAATATTCTTATTTATTTTTTTAATATTCTTTTTTTCAATTTTCTTCACTATTTTTCATATTCAATTTCATATTCTTTTCAATATTCTGTTTTTCTTAATGTAATGGCAAGGCCGCTGGTAACCCGTGCCACCTCTCTTTTTATTTTAGGCTACTGGAGCGCCTCCTTTCCCTTCACTGATGTTGAGCCGGTTTTTTATTACACCTTCCTTTGGGGGTAACCTCTTGGTCCTTACTTGTCTATCGACTCAGACAAATACGTGTAAGCATGCAGGAAGAGGTCCCTGTTCGGACGCCAATTAATAAATTAATTAATTATTTTATTATTTAAAAAAGGTGTGCGTGTTGGAGTGCAACACGTCTTACTTTGTTAATATCAAAAACCGAACTAATTTTATAAAATGCATTTTGGTTTTAGCTTCACATAATAATTCTAAAGTGCTGACGTAGTCCACCCGCCGAGTAATGAGTGTGGGAATGTTGATTGTTGTCCAGTCTCATCGACATGTGTAATATGACGCTTGGAATGTTCGTGCTGATATATATATATATATATATATATATATACATATATATATATATATATATATATATATATATATATATATATATATATATATATATATAAAACAGAAAAATGAAAGAAGAGCACAAAATAAAAAAACAATATGTTTATTTATTTGCGATATATATAATATAAAGGCATAACAAGTACGATTAAAGTATATCCGACGGCTGGTTTAAAATTGTTTATCTTAAAATTATGCAACATTACAAATGCCTATATTCAAAGAGGAATGAACTGCGAGCAAATATTATTTGAGCGCAACGTTGCATCAATAAATGTTCTCTCTTTTCCATGCATAGAGTATGATATGAATTCTTGTCTACGGCAGGTTTCCATTCACTCCTTGCAATACATCAAAACATACTCCACATACACGTACTGGTTTATTAATGCCAAACTTCAAAATGGGGACATCGTTATTAGAACATTTTGAGCATACAACTCGTCCACAGTGTCGACTTGAAAAGACAAATATACATTACATTAGATATATTATACAAGTCAAAGCGTTTGAACAATACATTGATTGATCAGATGAAATAGACAAATTAATATATAGGCAATGGAAACTGTGTTTTGTAATTTTATCCAGATGCCTTCCAGTATGCGGCATAGTCAAAATGCCGATTGAGCCAGCCGACCTACTCGACCTCGAGTTCCAGGTGTTTAAGTGAAAATGCTGAAATCTCTCATATCTAAAATGGTAAAAATCAGAGGGCTGCAATGAGTTTGATTGAGCAGGCTTGATCACACTTAGTGGAAATACAATCAAACTCAAACAGTCGGTCAGATGTAACGTGCTTTTTCTAGTTGCTCATGCGAAACAAAAAAATTGTGAGCGAACATGAATTGATGGAAGCTTTGTGATCGATATCAAACAGCTCACATGACTTATTTGTTTACGAGCTTATGTTGAATTGTTCATAAGGGGGCGATCATCTATGATGAGTCTGATCGGTTTGATAAATCCTAGTTAGGTGAGTGATTTGATTTGATTGAAACACAAATGTTCGAATCTGAGTGAAATCATGATTGTAATTTTACTAAGGATTTCATAACTAAAAGCTGTCCCCATAAAATAAATTGGTACAAATTATATTTAATAAAATTTTATGTGGGTTGTTGGTATGTTAGACTTCAGTGACTTAATATTTTAGTAAAGAAACACATCAATGGTACTTCGATCTTTTCGTTTACCTACACAGAGTGTAGTTTCTACTTGCAACAAGTTCGGTCGCACTATCACAATATTCTTCCATTCGGTCCGATGCTATTCAGATTTCATTCAGATTAACCAAACTACTGCTTCAACAAAAATCATGTAAGAAACCGAGTATGATTGATTTTTTTCATACTCGTTGCAGCCCTCTGGTAAAAATATATACTGTAGGTCTATTCTGAAAATATTGATGACATCCTTTATTGTCATTTTATTTAAAATTAACAACAGTGCTATTCTATAACAGTTTATAGAAATATTGTAAGGGTCGTCTTTTTAAAAACAATACAAAAATTGTCGTTGTTAATTTATCGAATAAATTTTCAATATTGTATTTGCCTTGTGTTGTATATTATATTTTTATTAAAAATTTAATCTACATTTTTACAGAATAGAACCGTTACTGCAAACGAAAAAAATTAATAAAACAATACTGATGTCACTCAATCTAAAATATTAAAAATATCGACAATTACAGGATAATTGGCAGTTGAATATTGTTCCACAATAAAATGTGAGTGCACTTTACTAATGACATTGAAGAAAACGCAGAAATCAAATATAATTCGTGAAAAAAATAGTAAATGTGTTTTGAAAGTCGAGTGGCTCATTCTGCATATTCTGAAGCCACCAGTAGGCCTACTATGTAACTTAACATAAACTTTAGAGTTGAACAAATTTAGCTTTGACTGAATTTATTTGTTTTTTGATGAAAATAAACAATAAAAATTATACCAATAAGAAAAAGATAAAAGTTGTAATATGATTTATTATACTCTACACCGCTATGTTTAGCTTTACCCTTAACAACTCAACGTTTATATTGTTTTTTTTTTTTTCAAATTTTCAATGATTTTTTGAAAAAAGTTAAAGAATACCGCGCCCTCTATACGGGTGAGCATGGCGCATAAACAGGTGTTCCTGCAAATTTTAAATACCAGATGAATTGTCAAAATTTGTTTACACCTTTATTCTGTTCCAGAACATTCAAGAAGCTACTAGTTTTAATTTTTTTTTGTTTTCGAGATTATAAAGGAAAATTGGTTATCGTAGTAAAAAGTTGTACGTTCTTGCAGTTCTAGTTGTGCACTTGTTTATCTTCTGATCTGCGATTTCAATGACAATAATTTATTATGACATTAAACTTGGTATTCAGCTAACCTTCCATGGAGACCATATATTTCGACCATGTGTTAACCTTGATTTCTTTCGCTTTAACCTTTTAGTCCTGCGCTCTTCTCAATGGCCACTTCAGATATGTTTCTTAGTTTCTCAACACCCTCCCCAGGGTAAGGAAATTCTATTTTATCAAACTGCTTCACTGCTTTTTCTTTGTTAAGAACTCAGAAAGCTCCTTTGAGGTAAAACAACTGTCCCTATCTGTTATACACGTCACTGGCCTGCTTAAGTAATCAAAATATTTTAAAGTGTCGCTTTGACCTCATTTGTGCTGGTCGTAAGAACTGGGTAAAATCTAAAAAAATCAAATGCATCAATTATCACTAATAGATGTTTTCTTTTCGACAGTAAACACGATAATTGACCTAAATGATCCAAGTAAATTGTATTAAACGCTCTATGTTCCTTCGGGATACTATGTAATGCTTTTGCATTTGTCCTATGAGGAGTGGAGTACATTATACATTTCAAACAGTTCTTAGGATGTTATCCAATTTTTACATTTACCATATCATAACCCTCCACGGTCCCTTTCTCTATTACTTATCATTTTATCACTACATTGTGTTGCACACAACTGCAGCTGCAGCTCGATTTGTACCGAGGCGAAAAGTATGCAACAGGGTGAAATGAACCGTCATCCTGTTTCTGTAATAAAACTGAACTAAATTCAGCTGCACTTGCATCGCAATGCAATTCTATCTCCCTTCGTGCCAACACAGGACTTTATGTCAAACACCCCTTAAGCGTTACAAAGGATTTCTGACACTCTTCTGAGAAAAAGTATTTCACACCATCCTTTGTAAAATCGCACAATGGATTGGCTGTTAAAGAAAATCCCAAAACAAATTTCCTAAAATATAAACAAAGCCCCACAAACGACTGCATTTCTTTCACATTATTTGGATGCGGATAACTTTTAATAACTTCTATATCTCCATTTGATGGATCTATTGTGGCCTTGGATACTTTATACTCCTAGTTTTCCATTTCTGAGAATGCGACTTTATATGTTTGTAACCAGAGTTTCAAGCCATATTCTCATCGCGACCACTATATCATCTATATAGATTACTATTTCATTTTTATCCAAAATATCTTTAAAAATGCCCACTATAAATCATTGAAATATAACTGGTCCACTTTTCAGGAATTTATATAGTCTATATGAAACAACAGATACTTAACTGACTTGATAGAAACATGACATCAAGTCCATTACTGTAAACCACGACTTCCCTTTTAAGTGCTCCAAGCAGCCATCTATCTGTGAGAATAGTTGTCTCTAATCACTATCTTATTTAACGACTGTAATGTCTGTATTTATTTAAGTCTGTAATTATTTCATTCACTTGTTGCTTTTCCACAAAGGATAATCTTCGTGGTGAACAGTATGATGTATTCCCCGTGTTTACTAATATTTACGCGGTGAACTCTGACCACTCTCGGCTAACACAAAATATCTTATATTTCTTACCTCGTATCTACATTAATTTTACAAACTATCTGAAATGCATCAACCGTATCACTCTTTTTCCTCATTGATCTTTAATTGAGACCATAAAACATTTACTTTATCTAAACCCGAATTGAATTTACTTTTGGGCTTTAGACACAAAAATAAATTTCAAAAATTTTTTTCGGAATTTGTGAAATATTTTGTGGCCGAATTTTCATAATTAATATGTAAAGATATTTTAAATAAACTTATAAAGTCTCTCCCGAGCACAAGGTCACAGGGAGCAATTTTCAGAATGATTAGCAATAGCTGTCACAGACTTAAGGGGACATTGTGCTCAATTTAATTTTGTGCGCGTTGATCATTTGGTGTTTTAATATTCTTTTCTGTGTTCGTTATTTACAACATAGTGTTATTTCTTTTGTCTTTGACGTTTGTGCCTGATTCCCTTTTGCTGTTCTGTACGTATTAAATTAGCTTTCCTAAGCATACTTTTAGGCTGTTACTTTAAATTGATTACTACACTATTTTCCTAATACACTGTTTAGCTTAGTATTTCGAATTAACATGGAGTGCTCGAATAATAATTGCTAAATTACTAATTTTAAAGAACGTTTACTAACATGTTGTCTATGCGATAAGCATGAAAATTTAAAATGTGCAGGTCTTAATGGCCGCCATTTTGATGTTCTTACTGATCGCGAAAAATATGGTTTACGTTGGGGATGTATTGATTGTAGGCCCTTAGAAATTAACTTTTATATTCATTTCAAGGAGTCTAAAATTGAATTAGCAGCTTTGTAGAAGGTTTTCGACGAAGAATTTTTAAAGCTTCGGAATTTCGAAAAAAAGTTTAATAATTTTCAATTCCTAGATGGATCTCCGATACGAAATATATCCTCAGTTTTTGTACCTGGTGATGATTTGATCTGTTTAAATTCACCAGCTGGGGCTCAGCCACACAACGCTGCCAAATCTTTTGGTTGGACATTCCACACTCTATTGATGATAAAACTATTGAAATTGTTACATGAAACGCTCCTATAGCTATAGCTTCTCAATTCTTAGCGCCCGCAATTGTTGTTAATTCGTCCGGTACAAAGCTTATACTATTCCTGTAATTTCTACCGAAAAAAACAACAACCAAATTTACCTGAAAATGGCACAAAAATTTTTAAATTTAACACGTCCCAACTTCGCGATATTTCATTATTTAAAATCTTTACGCCTGCTAAATTATTTAATTTAAAAGGAACTTGTATTTTGGGAAAGAAGTTGTACCATTGTCAAAAAACTAACTAAATCACTATCTCTTCTTTATCAAAACTTGAGAGGTCTTAACACTAAACTTAGAAATATTTATTTAAAATCCTTTGACTGTGATTTCAAAATTTTGGTATTCACGGACATATGGTTAAAACCACAAATTCGTGACACTGAGATTTTATCTGATTAGTACCAAATTTACAGAAAAGACAGATTAAATAAAATGGGTGGAGGAGTTTTCATTGCCGTTCATAATTCCATTGCCTCAGAACGTATTTTGGTTACAGAACACCCTAAGATTGAATTACTTTGTGTTAAATTAAAATATCTAAATTGTAATTTTATTATAACTTGTTCATATATTCCTCCAAATTCAGACATTGATATTTATCTTATGCATTCAGCCTTAATAAAATTATAATTATATCATTCCTCCAACGCGGAAATGATTTGTCTGGGGGATTTCCATCTGCCTAATCTATCATGGGTCCCAGGAGAAAATATTGTAGATTATGTACCAGTATCTTCTACAGAACTTTCTACTGAGATGTCATCTTTTTGAGAAATCTTATTTGAGCAATGTCTTTATCAAATAAATTCTATCTATAACGCGAAAGGTAAAATATTAGATTCAAAATTTTCTCCATCCATAACTTCTTTTGTGTGCAGAAGTCCTCCTTTCTCAGAGCCAGAGGATATGTATCATCCTACTCGTATGGTATCCATTGAACTTAGTAACATTCAAACAGTACATACTTCATCTCAAAACAGGTCGCGTAAGTTAAACTTTGGCAAGACTGACGTTGATCTGGTGCGTTCTACATTATCCAATATAAATTGGTGTTTTTAAGGTAATTTGGATTTTTGTATTTCAAGCTTTTATAAAATAACAATGCATTAGAAACCTCAGTCCCACTTGTGAAAATGTGCTGTGATATGGGTCCAGTTTGGCTTACTCTACAACTTAGGCGCTTACGTAACATAAAAAGCAGGTTATTTAAAATTTTTAAAAATCAATTCTATCATAAACTTTATTAATTACAAAAGCTTGAAGTTTATAAAACACTGAAAATTCTAAATGTTACTCTGAATACCTAGTCAAGATGAAAAAGAGCCTCTACAAAAATCCTAAGAACTTTTATAAATTCGTTAATTTAAAGAGAAAAGTCCGTGAATTTCCCAGTAGTATGCGATTCGGTAGTAGAGAATCATGTGAACCTAAGGAAATAGCAGATTTTTTTCAAAGTACGTATTCCAGACATTCTACTGAAAAATATTTCCTCTATAAAATTTTTCATTTGACATTTCTTTCCTTTATAAAAGTTTTCATTTCACATTTTCATAGAACAAGAATTGAGGCCTAGTTTCCTCGTATTATTCTCACATCAGATGAATTGTAGAAAGGTCTACTTTCATTGAAATGTTCCAATTCACTGGGTCCAGATGGTGTACCGTCTTTCATTTTAAAAACATGTGCACATAAGTATTTTTAATACTTCGTTAACCCAAGGGTATTTTCCTATTATTTTGGCGACGCCACCGACTGAAGGGGTTGCAAAACCTTTTCCTTTTCTTTACTTGTTATCTAGGCCTGTTTGGTCTCCGCTAATAACTTTTTGTATTTAGGAATCCTCTGTTTAAATTCTGCTCCTGTGCCAACATTGTAAAAAAGGTTAAGGCTTAGGTTCTGTCCAGCAGCCCCTCAACTATGTACTCAACCAATTCATGCTCTTGTATAAGGACATCTTCGGCATTTTGTTGCAATAGCAAGATATTTCTACTTTCCCTCCACTACTATTCATTCGTCCACTTTGCGACGCAATAACCGTCGTCTCCCGTAAATTTCGATAACGAACCTTCTGCGTCCGTAAAGCTTACCGCTGGATTCTGTTGTACTCCTCATATTTCTCAAGGACTCTCCTTTTTTCACTGTAGAATTCGAATTTTTGTCTGCAATTCTTTTTCCAACATTTCCAAACAATTTGCTTTTGATTAGCACTTGTTTCGCCATATTGTTAATTTGTTGTATGACTTCTGTTTTTCGGTTGCTTCTGTCGACTGTGTAGTTTTATCAGCTTGTTGCTCCTTACAATTCGTTTTGTTTGCTGATTTTTTACCGAATTCTATGTTCTTAAGTTTTCTTCATTTTGGCTTTTTTTCTTCTCCGGTTGACATTTTGCTTTGTTTTCCGGTCACATCTGAATATGTTGTCTTTTTATTTTATGGTTATTATGAGTTAAGTCTACTACTGTCCACTGCGAAGGGAAGAAGAGTAATCATTAAAATAGTGCTCAATGTAACACTAATTTTAAAAATTTAACAGAAAATCATCAATTTCGTGGGCGTACATTATGCATACCAATATTATTGGGGGAAATGTTCGTCTCATTGGATTGAAAAAATGATTTTGTAATGGTAGGTGTATCCTTCGATTTAAATCTTTAACCCCAATATTCGTATATCAGGCGTACTGTGTAATTTTTCACTGCTGCTAATTGGATTGCCCAAAGGTAGGCAAATGACACTTTTGATAAGTAAGCAACATGAACTTTCCTTGTATCCTTCCTCATGACTGATTTAGCTTCGTTTCTTGTCCATCAACAATTTTTCCATTTGTTGTCAGTTTTATTTGATAAAGAGACCCTGAACACTTAATTTGAAAACAGTCGTTAATTCTTAATTAATTAGTTAATTCTTTAAACCAATCCTAATAACTTATGTGAACTTTAATCTTTTTTGCGGACAAACAGTATAAACATGCATTAGACCAGGCATAAATATATCCCCTCTGGATCATTCCACGTCCAATTTACTTTAAAGAATGATATTCTTAATTTCAGCAAATTTTGCCGAAATGTTGTCAAAATACGTAACTGTAATTTGAAAATCAAATGAAGTAAATGGCAATAGTTTAGAAACTACTAGTTCTATTGACAAAAGTAGTCTTCTTGTATGACCTTTTATAAGCTTTAACAACGAATTCCATTCATTTGGCGTATTTTGTTTCCCGATTCGTACAAAAATTGTACGATGTGGTCAAGAAGCCTGTATTAAATTGGAAAGGGAAATATTCTATTTCCGTTTAAATGTAAAATATTTAAGATATAACTTCTTATTCAATGGTTTTGAGTTTTTTGTGCAAAATTTCCTAATTTCATTCAATTTTCAATGTGTTTGCAATATGATTTACATTGTTTTGATAAGTACTATCATTGTAAGGTATGGGACGTCGTTTTCCTGAGTGTTTTGAAGTGAACGATGTACAAAATTATTCTTCACTCATAAAGTTTTCTTGGGGAATTATAGTACGTTTACGTTCAACAATAATAACCTTCCACCATTTGGAACGAGATTGAAAATTTTCAAAAAAAAAAAAAAAAATCTGAAAACTAACACTTAATTGAAACCCGTTATATGAGACTATACGAATACGTCAACCTATTTGTCATATGCTGTAATACCCATTACGAACTTCAAATACGATATTTGAAACAGTTCCAGTGAATAATGTCGCTAAAATCATTAAAATATCGAATATCGGAAGGTACCGTTATATGGGGAATATACGGAAACATGCCTTTAAGTAGTTATTCCATAATATGGGTCGAACATCGAATAGAGAATGTATAAGTTCCTTTTTAACTTATTATCAGAAGTTAAATAGTTGGCAGGCTTACTTTTAGTTCATTCACCTACAAATGTTAATCTGAATTAATAGTCCTTATCTGGATTTATTTACTTTATGTGGACATTTCAATCAGATTGCTGCATTACTGGTTTTAAATGCGGCATGCTCCATAGTCTGAAGTACTTCCGCAAAGACATTTTTACACTATGAATTCGATTAAAAACAACAATATTGTGTTTTCTTCCTGTCCGACCTTATATGGGCCTTCGACGCAGCGTACAAAAATATTCGAGTTCCTCATTATGGTAAAACAATTTGTACGTCCGTATTACCCAAATCCGCAAGGTACCTTGTAAAAATTGATATTAAATTCACCCAATTGTAATATTTTCCATTTACAAACATTCACATTTTTTGTATTATTCGTTACTATATCTGAGTACTTCGAATTTTAGGTAACGCTGTAATGTCTGGTGAATTTAAAACCAAAAAGAGATTTTTTAAAGAATTAACATTTTCTGAAAATTTTGTCAAAAAGCTTAATATTGTATTTGGTTGTAGTCCCTTGGTCTGTATAACAGAGTTGCCTATAATTCGATATACTGTTACACAAATACAACAACAATTTCAGCATTGATAGATTTTTCTATATGGACCTTACGTATTTGTGTAATATGGACGTACAAAACCTTTTACCATAGTGGGGAAGTTGAATATTTGTGAACGCTACTTGGAATTTTTTGATAAGGCTCTAATAATAAAACACAAAACGAATGGTCAGTACACACAGATACTTTCCATAAGTAAACTTGCCTAACATAAATTCAGACATAAATTCAGATCCATAGAGAAGACTGTCAGACAAGGTTCAGGCCAGGAAGAATTTCATCATTGAAATATTAGTGAGCTTTGATCAACTAAGAATAAAAGTGGGCGCCTATCCCGATATTAGCCAGTTGCTGCTAGGTAAAAACTGCACGGTACTAGTGGATTTTAATGCCCACTATCAGTTGCGGCATTCCATCATACGTAAGGACTAGAGCAGATTGATTGCTCCACATTCTGCATCATAAACAAATAAGAGGAGAGTGTTACAGTTCGACAGACTTGACCATAATGTCACCAGGTCTAATAAATGAAGTGACTTGGCACCCCTTCATTTTCCTTGGGTCGGGCCATCTCATAAAATGTAAGTGAACACAAATACTGTAAATGAAAACATATATCGAAAATGCGATGAAAATACAACTATGTAATAAGATAATCGATATCACGCAAGACTCTCGGACCTATTGAAAATCCAACTTAGACAGATGGGCGTCATGTTCCGGGAGGCAGTAACTACCTAGTAGTTACGAAGATTGCTGGCAGAGGTATTTGGAGATGATGCATTGCATCAAGCTCAGCCATAGCAACAAGAAGTAAGTTAGCAAAACCAAGCCCAGCCACCGCAACAACAAGTAAGTGAGCAAGAACAAGCACAGCAATCTCAAAAAGTAAGCCCATATACAAACACAACAGAATACCCCAAAACTGAAAGGGGAAATTGATAAGCTGCAAAGCAATAAAATAAAAAAGAAAAATGAGGTCACATTTGCAGACATATGGGGAATAATAAGGAAAATTAATCCTAAGATACCTAATGACAGTGCCCCGCGTGCTCTTTTCAATGTTGATGAGAGTTTGAGTGGGGAAAATGAGACAAAAGAAAAGGGAGATTATCAAATAAAGAAAATAGTTGAACGAAAAAAGATAATGGACGACGAAGACTGAATTGTGTACAGTAGGCATAGGCCAGGAGCGAAAATGGCCAACGCGCTGTCTAGAGTGAACCAAGACACAGACAAAATAGTAGCTACTATAGAAATAGAAGGTATAGACTTTCAAGTAGGTGTGGCCCAGACCAAGAACAAAGAAAGAAATGAACTATAGGTAAAATTAGGACAGGAAACAGTGAAGATTGACGAGACTGCGATTTTTTGTACCAAATACCTGCGCTCGTACTGGTAATTCGTGTTTGTATTTTTAGAGCGTTATCCAAAAATTCGACGTAGCGTTTATCGTAGTAGATTGATATGATTATGAAAGCTTCGGACGCTCTTGTTCAGTTCAACGCTCATTTCGAATCTATGCGGGACGATAAACTAGATTTTAATACATTGAAATCCCTTCTTAATATATAAGAAAATTTATGGGAAAAGTTCAGCAAAAGTTTGAAAAATGCTGTGACTTTATGATGACATCTGTAGAGACATTAGGAGAAGAAATAGATGCAGTCGATCATGGATCTTTCCATCTTTTTTCTGAGATACCAGGCTGAAAATTAATAGGAAGTTAGATAAATTAAGACGGACTCGTTCTACTTCTGTTAATTCAAGTGTTAGTGATTCAATATCCTCATTATTAGAAACTCCAGGTGCGACCCCAGAAAAATCGCCAATTACAAGTCTGCTGAAAACGTAAGTTGAAACGCATAACTCATTGAGTATTTCGATTCAGGCTTTTCTCGGGAATCATTCACAAATCCAGACTCCGCTTACCTCTATTATAATAATGTTTCAGAATCGCATGGTCCAACCCCCCCCCCCCTCGGGCTTCCAAAAATTCAAATTGTGTTATATGTCAGAATCAACGTCATACATTGTCCCCGCTTTAAGATCTTAAAACTCGCTAATCGGTATAAAGTTATGTAGCGGTAATGAAGTAAAGAAATGTGATAGCAAACATCGGTGTTCGCTATTGCACAATTGGGTAATTCGACTCAAACTTTCACCGTGACATCTAATGTTCTCAAAATTGAAGTTCTGGGCCAGCTAATTCAGCGATCCCGATCAGCAAACACCTCCAACAAAGACAAAGAAACCTTGTTGACCTCTTATAACACGATAGGTCGGTCTGTGGTCAGCCATGCGGCTCCAGTGTGGTCTGTGAATATTAGTGCTACACAGTGGAAGCATATCCAGTCCTGCCAGAACGCTGCCCTGAGAACCATCTACATGAGGAGGCGAAAGTCCTTCCCTTACGTCAGCATAATCATATGCTTTCGTTGCAGTACCTGCTTGGGTGTTACCGTGAGAGTCATCCCAACCATCATATGGTGGATAAATCTTCCCCACCCAGGCGTGTCAGGAAGGACATACATGATCTTGAGAGGGAGGTCCAGCGCTACAAGAGAGAACCTCTAGATCAAGAAGCCTATCAGGCAGGTCTGTGTGGTATTCATACCGATGCAGTCGCGGATGCTATTAGCAGTTATAAAGTGAATGCCGTCCTCGGAGTCCACCCCCATCCATTGCAGCTGAAGAACGTCAGCTGCCTAGACAAACCAGGGTAGTTTTGGCGCAATTACGTTCAGGATGGTGTAGTCGTCTCAATTCGTATTGGCCACGAATTGATGAAGATGTGCGTGACGCCTGCCCGGCGTGCGATACAGGCCCGCACAATACGCTACACCTCTTTAATTGCACAGCCAAACCTACCCAACTCACTCCAGAAGATCTCTGGCTACAGCCCATTAAAGTAGCCGAATTTCTAAACTTGGAGCTGGAACCAGATTAGCAGAACGCAAACTCATGCATGTACTACTGCTACAACAACAACCCCCCCCCCCCCCCATTCATAATCAGTTCAGTGTTTAATCACTGGACCCACCCATCGAAAAAAGGAGAAAACATAACAAACGCACTCAAGAACTTGAAATTACCATATCAAACTCATCTCATATACAGAACCACGATCACCAGTCAAGATATCTCATAGCAACCACACTCCATAATGATAAATCCATTGATCAAAACCGGCTGGGATCTTATAGCTTCCAAACTATCAGAAGATTGGATTACAGTGAAGTCACGGAACTTAATAGTGACGGACATGTCACCGTACATTGACGTTGTAGGTGTCAAAATCTCACTTCATTACTCTCTAAATTGTTTGTATATAAAAATTTATTATCATACAATTTTTAACTATACACAACAGGAATTAATAAGTGAAATAGTAGTATTCCAAACCCCATAAAATGCAAAAAAATTCAAAAGCTTGGCCATAACAATAATTTTTGCAAGCGTAATGCCGCTTGTGCTTAATGTGATCTTTCAACACCACATGAATCATGTAACATAGAATTCTGTGTTAATTGCGAAAATGATACCCTCCATAAGATCCAAAATGTCCCAGTTTCTGACAAAACAAATCTGTTAATAAAATAAAACTTAATAATCGTTGCACTATTCGCGAAGCATGAAGCAGAACATTTTTTCAGAGGTAGGTATTTTTACCCTGATTCCGAAAAACAATTTCTTTTTTTGGGACGCGGGGACTCTCGGCTCAAAAATCTGGGATATTTGTAACGAAGAGAAAGGCCAGTTCTAGAACTCAAACCGAGGAACCAAATGCTAAAACCCAAAATTCAACAAATAATGACTGCAACAACAGATTCTCATTTCTCAGATCTAATAACGAGGCTGACGAAATAACACAACCGGCTAGATCCCAAAAACCTCCCCCACCATATCTTCGCGAAGGAAGAACAATTATTCTAGTGAACACACTCTCCAAATTGTTGGGTAAATCTGATTTTTATTAAGATCTATTAAGAGAGGAAATCTCCAAGATACAAAATACGAACTAATACTGAGTCACATTGTAAGGACCTAGGAATGTCCACATCCCAAAACTGATCCAAACTTCAAGAAGTGCAGCAATTACAGTGGAAACCACAAAAAATTCTACAAACTACAGGGTACGAGAAAACCCACAATTTAGTAGAAAAAAGAGCTGATTCCCCCGAGCTCAATAAGAGGAAGAAAATCACGGCCCCCAATAAGAATATTCTCACAATATGCAATACTTATATTCTGATATATAAATAAAAATCCAAATATAGAATCATCTATCGAAATAACTTATCTAAACAATGAATTCTTTCATGACAAGCATGTAAAGCATGATGCAAAGAAATGACGAGAAATCAATATATGCTAATGCAAATCATTTTAAAACAAAAATAGATAAAATTCCAATCTGTTTTTTGAACACAAACGTCCTAAGCCAATATAAACACGATGTCGACAACTTTATTCTATCACTGAACATACACTTCTAGAAACAGTTTTAGACTAAACGGTTAGAGTACATATGACACTAACACCCTAGTGCAAGAGCTTGCGGTGGCACCGCGGCGATAATTTCTAACTAAATTCAATATTACTCCATGTCAGAATATAAGTCTACAACAGTTGCACTATATTCAACGAATACAGTTATATCTGCAATATATTGTTCTCCAATACATAGAATAAGCAAAGATGAATTACCTTCATTCATTCAACATTTAAACTCCATTTCGTGCGCTAAACTGGATGTGATATCTACAGGCCAGTCTACTTATTGGCCTTCAGACCTGCAAAAACGTCCTGTCTTAATTGATTATGCGGCAACAAAGAATATTAGAGATATCAGAGAACAAATGTCCAAATTTGACTTGTCGTCAGACCATTCCTCAACTATAGTTATTACATTTAAGAATATTCAACTCGTTACGTCCCCGTATTATCTGCCATCTTAACACTAATTTATTTTACATAAGTAGTTATCACCACTGTCAATGCTGTCTCTCCCAATAACTTTCCTAAACCGGAGAAGGCCAGAAGATAATAGATAGGAAGCACCCCTAGGTTTCGGGATAAATTAAAAGAATGTGAAAAACTACGAAAACAAGCCCTCATATTAAACGAAGAACGAAACTTCAAAATATTCCTAAATAACCTAGAAACCACAGAGAGAACTCCAAATATGCTCAAGAAATTACCAACTACGACCGTTCAACTATTGTTAATCAGATTTTACAGTGTTCTTCGAGTAGGTTAATTCCTGTCTGCATGGAAAGAATCTGTAATAGTAATGTTTCTGAAACCTGGAAAATATCAAACGGAGGTTAAATCGTTACATTACTCAGAATGTTAACTCCCATATCACATCTATTAATATAATTTCCGACCACCAATTCGGCTTACTTATGAAACTTAGTACTATTGAGCAAGTGCAGCAATAGTCAAAAACATTAGAATGCCATTCGAAAGGAAAGAATATTGTTCCGCGTTATTTATAGACATTTCCCAAGCCTTTAATAGAGTTTGGCATGTTGGAATTCTATACAAAATTTGCGAAACTCTACCTAAAAACATACATAAACTTTTTCGTAGCTATTGTTAAATCGTACATTTGTTGTTAAATCGAAAGACACACTTTCAAAGTCGAGAAAAATATTGGCTGGAGTTTCACAGGGTAGTTTATTAGGTCCATTCATTCGAAAAAAAAAACTACAAAAAATGTAGATAACCTCGAAATTTGGCTGACATCGGTAAATGCAAGGTTTACTTTTGCTCTAAGACGTAAACTTTGTCCCACAATAAAAATCTTCAATACACATGTTCCACAGAAAGATACCGTAAAATATCTCCGAATGCACCTGTACCGAAGACATAAAAAACGCAAACTTGTGGATGTTTGCCTTCCGTTGAAGAGGAAATAAAGAAGCTTTGCCGAAAGTACTTGAGCAAACTATCTGTGCACCCAAATAGTTTGGCCCGTCAACACCTTTTATTCGGCGGGCATATTATTTTGTCACATAGTTAATATTTGTCTTACTTTTTCATTAAGTCAAGTGAACGTTAATGTTATACTTCTACAGCTAGCAGTGTGCTAATATGGAAATCGCTTCTGTGAAGAAATCGATTACACTATTACTGTAGTCCGCAAGATGATAAGATATAACTGTAACTAACCAAAGCAACATTACATTCGTAAGACTATTCCTGTAGTCCGCGAATTACTTAGATATAACTGTATACAAGATATAAATTGCAGCAAAACATAATCCAGATGTAATTGAATTGCAGCGGACACACGTTATTGAAAGAAATGTCCAATTTTGTAAACTTACCGGTTACAAAGTTTTGTATGGTAATAAGAATTATACCTATACAAAATCAGTTATCGCTTATCTAGTCAAAAAAATATATTAACATTTCTTCCCATATTAAATCCTCTTTACATCTTCTTATCCACACCATTGAAATAGACTCTGGAAACGCAATCTTATGAAGAACATGACGTAACTACAAACCAAGAAATGATCAACACAATCTTTGATTCTGGAGATAGTCTTCCCAAATTTCCCATCTATAACAAAATCAGATAGATTTGTATCAAACCATAAAGAAATAACATCGGAATTCAGGGTCTTTTGGAGTTCCTTGAGCTCTGACAACGACAAATGTAATCGCCTCAAAACAACATTTCGACATATCTACTCATGCAGAATCTAAAGCCTTCAACAAATGATGTGATCGAACTCGACAAAACATTGGCAACACTGAAAGGCATGACTCACTCACGAGATAAACTCTCTTATCCAATGGTAAGAAACGCTCCATTTTCTACCAAAAAAACGTCTCTGTAATCTTTACAACTTAATTATATCTTCAGGCCAATTCCCACATGCATAGAGAACTGCAATCCTATCACCGATACCCGGGAAAAATCTGTCCCAAATAGAGCGCTATAGACTTATATCCCTGCTGTCCATACTCTCTAAAATTCTTAAAAAAATCTTAGCTGGTCGATTTTCCTAAAATACAAAACAACTTTCTTCCAACTTGCAACATGTCTTCTTTCCGGGTCGTGGTCTCCATAGTATTGGATATCAAATAGAAGAAACACTTCGACGCCATCTCATCGGATATCGAAAAGGCTTTCGATCGAATTGTTCTAACATCAATTTTAACCGAACTTACTCAATGGGGCTTGAACAATATATCTTTAAACCTGATTAAATCTTTCCTTAACAACTGCCGTATTATTGTAAAAATAGATGGCCATTACTCAGGTTCATTTAGCAATAACAATGGGATCCCTCAAGTTAAACGGCTTTATGTTAAACATACATTCCAATGTTTAAGATAAATGTACTAAAAACCAAAAAAATAATTCGTGGGAATTATAAACATATGCGTAGAATAGACTAAAATAAAATAAAACCATGGGCGCGTCAATTGTCTACAAATTATCGGCTTAATGTGCGATAGAAAAATCATTTAATTCGTTTTTAGGCAATTGCCCGCAGACGGTAAGGAAATTACTTACCATTTACTTGCTCATGGAAATTCCAATTGTTATACACTCCATGTAAATAAAAGAGATGTTTCAACTAGTTTATCGTTGGACATTCACACTGCTGGCTGGCGAGTTTGTCTTTAATAGACAAAACATATGAGAAAAGTACTAATGCCTCACCACTGTGAAATCCTAAAACTCGCTTACAATGAAGCTTGCTAGCTTGTCTCCGTATTCTAGCCCTACTTATCACACGTACATCGTTGTCGGTTGAACAACTGCCTAATAATAGTGTAACTTTACAAAACGAACATAATTAATTTGTAAATGGTTAACATCGCTGAAATTTGTCTGTTGTTCCTTATCGTAGAAGATTTTGTGACAATGTCCAAAATGACATTGACTTCAATTGATATGGTTATGAGAGCTTCGGACGCTCTTGTTCAGTTCAACGCTCATTTCGAATCTATGCGGGACGATAAACTAGATTTTCATACATTGAAACCCTTCTTAATGTATAAGAAAATTTATGGGAAAAGTTCAGCAAAAGTTTGAAAAATGCTGTGACTTTATGATGACATCTGTAGAGACATTAAGAGAAGAAATAGATGCAGTCGATCATAGATCTTTCCATCTTACTTCTGAGATACCAGGCTGAAAATTAATAGGAAGTTAGATAAATTAAGACGGACTCGTTCTACTTCTGTTAATTCAAGTGTTAGTGATTCAATATCCTCATTATCCAGGTGCGACCCTGGAAAAATCGCCAATTACAAGTCTGCTGAAAACGTAAGTTGAAACGCATAACTCATTGAGTATTTCGATTCAGGCTTTTCTCGGGAATCATTCACAATCCATACATCGTACCCCACCCCCCCCCCCCCCCCCCCCCGCGGGCTTCCAAAAATTCAAACTGTGTTATATGTCAGAATCAACGTCATACATTGTCCCCGCTTCAAGATCTTAATGAAGTAAAGAAATGTGATAGCAAACATCGGTGTTCGAAGTGCAATAAGGCACATCATACACTATCGCACAATTGGGTAATTCGACTCAAACTTTCACCGTGATATCTAATGTTCTCAAAATTGGAGTTCTGGGCCAGCTAATTCGGCGATTCCGATCAGCAAACACCTCCAACAAAGACAAAGAAACCTTGCTGACCTCTTATAACGCGATAGGTCGGTCTGTGGTCAGCTATGCGGCTCCAGTGTGGTCTGCGAATACTAATGCTACGCAGTGGAAGCATATCCAGAACTGCCAGAACGCTGCCCTGAGAACCATCTACATGAGGAGGCGAAAGTCCTTCCCTTACGTCAGCATAATCATATGCTTTCGTTGCAGTACCTGCTTGGTTGTTACCGTCAGAGTCATCCCAACCATCATATGGTGGATAAATCTCCCCCACCCAGGCGTGTCAGGAAGGACATACATGATCTAGAGAGGGAGGTCCAGCGCTACAAGAGAGAACCTCTAGATCAAGAAGCCTATCAGGCAGGTCTGAATGGCATTCATACCGATGCAGTCGCGGATGCTATTAGCAGTTATAAAGTGAATGCCGTCCTCGGAGTCCACCCCCATCCATTGCAGCTGAAGAACGTCACCTGCCTAGACAAACCAGGGTAGTTTTGGCGCAATTACGTTCAGGATGGTGTAGTCGTCTCAATTCGTATTGGCCACGAATTGATGAAGATGTGCGTGACGCCTGCCCGGCGTGCGATACAGGCCCGCACAATACGCTACACCTCTTTAATTGCACAGCCAAACCTACCCAACTCACTCCAGAAGATCTCTGGCTACAGCCCATTAAAGTAGCCGAATTTCTAAACTTGGAGCTGGAACCAGATTAGCAGAACGCAAACTCATGCATGTACTACTGCTACAACAACAACCCCCCCCCCCCCATTCATAATCAGTTCAGTGTTTAATCACTGGACCCACCCATCGAAAAAAGGAGAAAACATAACAAACGCACTCAAGAACTTGAAATTACCATATCAAACTCATCTCATATACAGAACCACGATCACCAGTCAAGATATCTCATAGCAACCACACTCCATAATGATAAATCCATTGATCAAAACCGGCTGGGATCTTATAGCTTCCAAACTATCAGAAGATTGGATTACAGTGAAGTCACGGAACTTAATAGTGACGGACATGTCACCGTACATTGACGTTGTAGGTGTCAAAATCTCACTTCATTACTCTTTAAATTGTTTGTACATAAAAATTTATTATCATACAATTTTTAACTATACACAACAGGAACTTCTAGAAACAGTTTTAGACTAAACGGTGGGAGTACATATGACACTAACACCCTAGTGGAAGAGCTTGCGGTGGCACCGCGGCGATAATTTCTAACTAAATTCAATATTACTCCATGTCAGAATATAAGTCTACAACAGTTGCACTATATTCAACGAATACAGTTATATCTGCAATATATTGTTCTCCAATACATAGAATAAGCAAAGATGAATTACCTTCATTCATTCAACATTTAAACTCCATTTCGTGCGCTAAACTGGATGTGATATCTACAGGCCAGTCTACTTATTGGCCTTCAGACCTGAAAAAACGTCCTGTCTTAATTGATTAGGCGGCAACAAAGAATATTAGAGATATCAGAGAACAAATGTCCAAATTTGACTTGTCGTCAGACCATTCCTCAACTATAGTTACATTTAAGAATATTCAACTCGTTACGTCCCCGTATTATCTGCCAAATAAACATACAAACTGGATGTTAATCTTAACACTTATTTATTTTACTGTCAATGCTGTCTCTCCCAATCACTTTCCTAAACCGGAGAAGGCCAGAAGATAATAGATATGAAGCACCCCTAGGTTTCGGGATAAATTAATAGAATGTGAAAAACTACGAAAACAAGCCCTCATATTAAACGAAGAGCGAAACTTCAAAATATTCTTAAATAACCTAGAAACCACAGAGAGAACTCCAAATATGCTCAAGAAATTACCAACTACGACCGTTCAACTATTGTTAATCAGATTTTAACAGTGTTCTTCGAGTAGGGTAATTCCTGTCTGCATGGAAAGAATCTGTAATAGTAATGATTCTGAAACCTGGAAAATATCCAACGCAGGTTAAATCGTATAGACCTAACAGTCTTCTATCTACACTCTCAAAGTTGTTCGAAACAACATTACTCAGAATGTTAACTCTCATATCACATCTATTAATATTATTTCCGACCACCAATTCGGCTTACTTAAGAAACTTAGTACTATTGAGCAAGTGCAGCAATAGTCAAAAACATTAGAATGCCATTCGAAAGTAAAGAATATTGTTCCGCGTTATTTATAGACATTTACCAAGCCTTTAACAGAGTTTGGCATGTTGGAATTCTATACAAAATTTGCGAAACTCTACCTAAAAACATACATAATCTTTTTTGTAGCTATTGTTAAATCGTACATTTGTTGTTAAGTCGAAAGACACACTTTCAAGTCGAGAAAAATATTGGCTGGAGTCTCACAGGGTAGTTTATTAGGTCCAATTCTGTATGTGATATTTACAGCGGACATGCCCACAACCAATGAGACTCTCATCTCAACGTTTGCTGATGGTACTGCTAAAAATAGGTAAAAAAATTAAATTAAACGGCTTTATGTTAAACATACATTGCAATGTTTAAGATAAATGTACTGAAAAACCAAAAAAATAATTCGTGGGAATTATAAACATATGCATAGACTAGACTAAAATAAAACCATGGGCGCGTCAATTGTTGTTAGGCAATTGCCCGCAGACGGTAAGGAAATTACTTACAATTTTCTTGCTCATGGAAATTCCAATTGTTATACACTCCATGTAAATAAAAAAAATGTTTCAACTAGTTTATCGTTGGACATTCACACTGCTGGCTGGCGAGTTTGTCTTTAATAGACAAAACATATGATAAAAGTACTACTGCCTCACCACTGTGAAATCCTAAAACTCGCTTACAATGAAGCTTGCTAGCTTGTCTCCGCATTCTAGTCCTACTTATCACACGTACATCGTTGTCGGTTGAACAACTGCCTAATAATAGTGTGACTTCACAAAACAAACATTTTCATCAGCGATCAACAATTGACGTGTCCCACGGTTTTATTTTAGTCTTGTCTATGCATATGTTTATAATTTATTTTTTGGTTTTTAGTACATTTATCTTAAACATTGCTTTGTATGTTTAACATAAAACCGTTTAACGTAAAAAGTTTATTTACCTATTTTTTACCATTTTGTTCCCACGAATAATGGACATTCAGACGGTCGACCCCCAGAGGTCCAATAAAGGGACAACAAGATGCGCCTGAGTCTTGAGGGGAAAACGCCAACAATACAATACAATACAATACAATTCTCGCCGCGTTTTAACATTTCACCTTAACTTGGGTGGTGTTCCGCTAACGACGTATCATTTTTAGGCACCCTAACGCCACACAGTCCTCAACACAATACAAAATCTTGACTTGGGTGGTGAATTCAGGCTGGATTAATCAGATACCTAAATTAGAGATGCAATTTCTAAATTTAAATCTTATTATACGCCATTTAATAGCTGCGCCCATCTTAAATATTGAGATTCTATAGTGCACTGCATTCTTCTTGTCAAGCCCTTTTTTTGATACCCATATTGGTGGGATTGATAAAAAAATTGTTATCAGCCATTTAGTAGCGGCGGCCATCGTAGATTTTAATTTGCATAGTAAATTGTATTCTACTTGTTGATACCTTTTAAATCTAAGTTAGCCGTCATTTTGTGGAGGCCGCTATCATAGATTTTTATTTTTACATTGTGTTCTACTTGTTGAGCACTTTCATTTGATACCCATATTGATGAGATTGATAAAACCTATGTTATTCGCCAATTTGTAGCGGCCGCTACCTAAGGATCTATAATGATAATGAATAAACACCAAAATCCAAAGTGTATACAAAATTTCAGATTAATCGGTTGACACGAAGAGGGTGAAATTTGAATTACTAAATTTGACCCAAGAATAAAACAAACAAACGGTGTCGGCTAAACAAACCCGTTCAAAGCTATCATTTCTAAGCCACTCGTCCGACAGCTGTTAAAATTATTCCAGTGACAGTTCGTTATATTGTTTACAAGCGTACAAAATGGTTACAAAATGAGGTTCCTCGCTTCATTTCCAGCGCACAGTGGCCACCAAAATCTCCGGTTACCAATCCGTTGGACTATTGTCTGGAGTATTTTGGAAAGCAAGGTTGGCACCAAAAAAATACCAAAGTGTCGATCTCCTCAAGCAAGCGCTTCGCCGAGAATGGGCCCAAATACCGCAGATCAACGTTCGGGCAGCGTGTGACTGTTTCATTGAATGCCACAATTTGTGCCAAAGGTTGTTCACCTCGAACAAATCTAAACTTATTCGAAAATTTGATGCTATTTCCGTCATTTTTAGCTTTCATTCAATAAAATTAAAAAAAGGTAAAAATTATTGCGTTTGCAGTTTTTTTTATCTCACCCTGTATATGCTGACCTCTGCTACCCCTCTAGAAGTACAGCGTTGCCTCCACTTCGAAACCTGCTTACAGAATTGGGCAGATAAGGTAGAAGCATCTATCCCTCATGAAAAAACAAAAATATTACATGTTTGTAGATGTAGGTGCTGTCGAGAAAACTCTATAACATAATTCCCCTGTCGTCTAGACTGGATATTCTTGGAATTAACTTTACTTAATAGCATGTTTCCATTGGAAACCGAACAACGTTGTTCGCTCTCAGAATTAGGTACACGAATTAACCCGTTCATACGGCACGATTCGTAATTCATAGTAAAATAATTCCTT